GTGGGTGGCCCTGAAAAGCCCCCCCAAGCCGTCTGCCAGCGTTCAGCCACGGGGAAGCAGCTGACCCATCCTCCTCGGGAGCCACCTCGGTGCCTTCCCCCCAGCGCCAGGCCCTCGCGGCGAGGCGGGGAGCACGTCCTCCCGTTTCTCTCCCAGGGGACAAGGGCCAAGGCAACCCCCCCGTTGCGGTCGGTTAGTAAAACGGCGAGGTCAGCATCATCTGCCAAGCGGAGCGGAAGTCAGCAGGACCCAGCAGAGCCTTCAGCCGGGCAGCCATGCTTTCGGCTTTCGGAGGACCCTTTGCCACATGCTGCTGTGGAGCCACAAGCTTCCCCAGACACCCTCGGGAGCAACGAGGCGAGGGGGGCACAGCCCGGCCAAGGGAGCGGAGACCTGCCTGGAAGAGAGGAAGAGGGAGGCGAGATGAGCCGGAGGGAAAGCAGCTACAGCTCCTCTGATTCGGAGGGCTTGGCAGGCAGAGAAAGTCTGGCTACGACCCGGGTCAGAGCCCTGTTTTCAGCCAGCAGTTGCTCATTCATCTGCCTCAGAGTGTGAATCTGTTTGAGCTGGTGGAGATTCTGCAGAGAGTGAGAGGAGTGGACAGAAAAATACAGAGAAAACACACCACGAAGACAAAAGGGCACAGAAACGTGAATTTAGTCCACAAGCAGTAAAAGAATAAAAGAGAATAAAAGAAAAATTAGTAGCAGTGAGTGCTGGATGGGCAGCAGCTCAGATGCGTACGAGGAAAGCCTTACAACACGCTGGGGATGCTCTGGGAACCATCTCTTTCTCCAGGGCCCCCCAAAACCTTTACAAAGGTCAAATAAAGGGATTTCCCATCACAAAGCCGGACGGTCTCCTGCAGGTTATATTCTAGTTTACGCAGACAGTGAGCCCCAGCAGCACACAGCCCCTGGACTAGGAACTCCTAGGAGAACTATCACCATTGACTTACCACCTACGCGGGCTTTTAAAGCACTGCTGGCAAGCGAGAATTTCTTTAAAACTCCTTTTCTTCGCATGTCTCTAAAAGCTGAAGTGGTTTTGTGTGGCAAACTGTGAACAGAGCTTTGTGGGAGATTTTACAAGGCACAGACTGAAGCACCCTACGGCAGAGCACCGAGCCACGGCCCCTGCCTGCTCGCAGCTCTCGTCCCTGCGGCACCTGCATCACGGCTCTTGGGTCTGCTCAGGCTTCGGTCCTGCCGAAAGGTCTGCAGCGTGTGTGGGCGTTTCATCCCTGCCCAGATTCAACTCTTCTCTGTCACGGAGCTCAATTTATCCCTGATTTCCAGAGGCGAAAAGCCAGGACCTTACACCGCTCACTTTAGCTACAGGAGTTTGAGTGACAGCATCTGGCACGGGAGGCATGTGAGAACATGGCATTCTTGGTTACAAAAGAAACGAGTGGGCACAGGACGGTGTAGACATCAAGCCCCAAAGCTGGGGCTAGCACAGCTATCGCGGCAATGGCGAGACACAGAACATAAAAGGAATGAGGAAGGCAAAACGGTAAAAGCCATGCAGACATCACCGTTTCTACGAGGACGATGCTAAAGCGAAACCGTATGCTGGGCATTTACACCAAGCGTGGGTGCCAGGGCATGCTGAGGGCTGCAGAGCTGCTTTCTGAGCAGCGTCCCGTCCCTCGTCGGGCAGCGGGGCCACGTGAACGAGAAACCCTCACCACTGAGGAGGGAGCACAGACACTGGGCAGAGGGAAGAAGAGCAGTTTGAAGTTCAAGTGAAAAAATCCCAGCCCAGAACCACAGCAACTTCTGTCCTGCCGCTCGCAACCCAGCGTGCTCTTCCCTGCATCCCCTTGCTCGTGTGCTTGGGACAGCAGGGAGGAGACGGAGGGAAGGGTCTACTGGGAAGGGGATTCCTTTCTGCCATTGAATCAGCAGAAAGCACGCAAAGGGAGGTCACTGTCTGTCCTTAACCAGAAGCAGGACGGGCAAATCTGCTGTGATACAAAGAACTTGCATGAACTTCCCCCAGCTTGTGTGACGTGGAGCTGGCAAGGAACCTGCTGCACCCCAGGACATTTTGTCCAAGGGCTCATCCCTGTACAGAACAGAAGTCCTCCACGTAGCCCCCGTCAGCTCGATTCTTAGGTACCCCAAAGCACTACCTCCGCTCCCCATTAAGGAACCAAGATACCTCATCCAAAAGCCTTGCAAAACCAACGGCAGCAAGGCAGGTGAGTGCAGGAGGCCAGCAAAGGATGGGGTCTGAGCCCCCCGAGGGCATCAGACTGACAAAGCACCTCCTGCTCCTTGGGCTACGCCAACGCAATCAGACACTGGATAAACCAACAGGTCCTGAGACAGAGCTACGGCCAACAAACTGCCGGAGAGCTTCAGGGACATCTCGGCAGCGAGGTCCCCTCTCACGAAGTCTCAGCCATCCATCCACCACTTAACCTGCCCGAGCCGTGCCAGCGGGCCCTGCGCTCGGTGACGACACAGATGGACAACAGGACGTCTGTCCTGTGATAAATCCCACCCTGGAGCTGCTGGGTTCATCCTGGAAGAGCCGTTTCTTTTGGTGGTATCATGGATAATAAACGTCCTCTGTTTTATCACAGTGAACACAGCATCTGGCTGGCACAAAACATCAAACATATGTAAAGTGGGGTCGCATGCTACACGGGATGGACAGGATCGTCATCGCTTTGGAGATCACCTTCATTCTTCCATACCAATATAGCACGAAACCTTAGCACGGCACGATCAGATGCATCTCAGCTTCAGCACGCTGCCACAGACGATAAGAAGGATCACTTATGTAAAAATGTGTGTGTGCTGCAGGTAGGAGAGCCTTCTGCTTATCCAAGAAACCCAGCAAAGGCCGGGAAGCTGGGACTGAAGCCAAGGGCGAAGACCAGAATCTGGACAATACTGCTGTGATTGCTTATCACTCTGCTTGATACTTGGCTCACCGAAAGCAGGTTTCTCAGCTCAGCTGTACCTGCCTTCAATTAAAGGATTCTGTGCCTGCAACACTAGGGGAAATAAAAACGCCCAGAGCATGCACAATGTACAAAGCCAGGAGGTGCAGTGCTGCTACGGAATAAAGAAGCTTCTACGACCTTCAAGAAAAATTGCTGTGTTAAGTTGGGACCTCAGGCACTTGGCATCGAATTCAGTTCAGTGCAAATGCTAATTTTCTTTCTCCTTCCTCTGCCAAGTTGCTGTATCACCAGTCAAATTCTGCAGTCACTGAGGAAAATGCTGGTACTGCTCTGTCACCTTCGCAAGAGCAGCTCTGCAGGAGCAGCTCCGGCACCAAAGGCTTCTTTGAGATCACTGATTTTGTCCCACTCCTCTCCATTTCTTGATTGCTTCGTTAGCAGGCGTTAAACTCATGAAAGGAACAAAGCTCATTACCTCAAGCACAGCCTGAAGTACAAAGCATTTCTCTCACAGAAACCCAGGACCATCCCGTGACCGCTGCTGTGCCTCCTCTTCCTGAGCAGCCAGCTGCAAGCAGAGGAGAGCCCTGGCCACGGCCCCCTGATGCACAGAACGGGACACAGACACCGCAGGATCAAAAAGCTGGCTCTGAGCCATGCCGGCCTGGGTCAGTTCAAAGACCAGCATGAAGAATCCCCAAACCCACAGTGCTACCTGAGACCTAATAACCTGGCGGGTTTGGATGTCTCCCCTTGCTGCTCTCCACGTTCAAGGGAACTGGTGGATTCGCTCAAGTCGCTCACTCCTTCCGATTCTGCTCGACAGCCACTCGGCGAGCGCGAGAAGCAGGACCGAAAGTCTAACCAGAATGAACAGATTTGTTCTCCTGGCTCAGCTTCCACAGTAGGGATTAACTCAGATGCTGCGCAGAGGTTATCTCATTCCAGGTACACACAGCCGGGCTGACTCTCCTGCTTTCAGGCACCATGAGAGTGGACATGAAAGTCTGCTTTCCCTCTGGACATGCCCAGCTTGGTGCTTTTATCTTCTGAGATTTTATACTCCTTTTTACTGAGTGGCTGTCAAAAAAGACATCTCACAGTGCACTCAGGTAGTCACCACATGCTCGAGTTTTTGCAGAAAACTCGTGGAAATGTGGTAGCACGTTAGAAGAGACATTTTCAAATTTCATGTCTATTTATACTACTAACAAAAGGCCACTTTGGTTGTTCGAGGCAGCAAGAACACAGCAGAGAGCAAAGAGTAAGGACGACTCCTGTGGACCTGACAGCTCGTTCTCAGCTGGAGCACAGGCTCCTGCAGCTCACGTCTCCAGCCCGTCTCCTTGGGCAATATAAGAACTTGTCAAACTTCTAGCAGGGCGTCTCCTTTTGCACCATCTTGGCTTCCACCAGTCTGCAGCTCCAGTCTACCTGAACCAGGGGTGCTTTGGCTGTGTCCAGCCGTTCCCGCAGGCACCTTCTTTCATTAATTGCTTTCCAAACCAATATAAATGTTTCAAAACTGATAGGCCACTAGAGGACACCAATTTGTCTTTTTACTCCACGGACTGAGCTGGTCTGCAGAACAATCGGCTTAGCTGAAGAAACAACACAGACTGCTGCTGTCTGCATTTGTTCTTGAAGGCCGTATTTCTGTAATTACAGGAAGGTCTCTGGGGAGGTAAAGGTTGCTAGCTGTTCAGTGAACAAAGAATTTGGAGTTTAGGCATGTTCAGTTGTTTCTCCTTCCCCTTCTGGCTAGGGCATCCACACTTATTTTCTCCTCTGTGAGAGAACAAGGGAGCCTTCACAGTAAGACTTCACCAAACCATTCTGAGACTTGATGCAGTAGAAGATGCAGCACCAGCCAATGGGTCCTTTCAAAGATGTATGCTTGGTAAATAATGAAGCTTCAAATAGAAATATAAAGTTGGAATCTCCTCCAAGGTGGAAGGAAATTGTTCCCATCAGTGCACCGTGCCGGGAGAGCTCACAGCTCTCAGCTCGGAGTCCTTCCTTCTTACAGTAGCTTGGTCCCCCCTGGGTCATGCTCAAAGGGAATGGAAGCGCAGAGCACAGAGCAAAGGGGCCATCTGTGAATACGAGCATTAAGCTACAGCACATAATGCTGCAAACTCAGTGCGAATTTTACGTGTACTTAGGCAGCAAAACACACTGCCTCCTGCTCTGCAGTGCTCCCCGCCAGCCCCTGCTCGCAGGGCATCCAAGCCACGGCAGGAGGAGAACCATCCTTCGCAGCAACGCCGCGAGAGCGAGAACGCGAGGGAGCAGTCGGTGGCGGACGTCTCGTGACAGTAAGCCATGCTGCACATTTCATCGGGAAGCAAATTCCTCTTTGCTGCAATCTATTCCAGGCTGACTTACTGACACGGCCTTCCCGTACCATGCGTTAGGAAGGGAGTACAGAAATACAACCACTCTGTGTTTTTTCCTGGCCAGTGTGCGTGATCTCAAAAGCCAGCTTTGTCTTCTTACCCGTCTGGAGAGAACGACAGCGGCTTAGCTTGGGCTGCAGACTACTCGGAGCACAGAGGATCAGCACACTGCAACTCACCGATGCCACAGAAGGTTAGTTTTGGAAAGCACTTGAGGAGAACAGCTTTCACAATTCCCAGATCAAACAGCATCACAAATTAAACATCTGGTGCAATCAGATGAATGATAACAGGACAGTTTTATTAGTATTTCATGTTCGGAGAATATGGCCAGTAAAGTAAGCTCTGACTGCATCAAGGAACACGCTCAGAGGGAACACGAGTCCCTTCCCACGTACACCTTGAATATCCTACTCCTGGGCGACCATCCCAAAAGACATTAATACGAAGCATAAAAAACGGACTAGAAGAGTGAATAGATTATTTCCTACCTTCATCTCCTCTTCCATTTCTGAGAGCTTCCGCTCCAGGGCTCGCTTCTCCTGTTTACAAGGATTCATAACAAAGATGGTCAGGATTTAGAAGAAAAACTTACAAGACATTTCCTTTTTAAGACAAATAAGAGTATTGTATTTCTGCGGGAGCATTCACTGAAAAGCATCTCAAAGCCACGCACAGGTTACAACCAGGAGCTGATCAGATGGGACAGGGCAGCTGGTAAACCAGCAGCTGATACGCGCTGGGCCCATTTCATCAGATCCTGAGCTCCCTTCATACCCTGTCAATGAAACCATCCCCCGACTCTCAGTGATCCCAGTTTTCAGGACTTTCTGACATAACGTGATTTTGAGCTCTGTAGGTGAAGCCGTGGATTTAACTGCACCCCACTAACAGAGGCAACCAGAAAACACACCAAGCCTGTCAAAGAGGAAACCGTGAACAGGGAGAGGTGCCTGGAAATCTTGCTTCTCCCAGATCAATTTAGGGCTTCAGAGGTGTAAAGCTGACTGCTGTCAGTATATTTTGGAAACTGATGATGACACAGGTGGGCTCTGCCTGGTGGTGCCCGCAGTGGACAGCCAGCTCCCCTGCCGAGAGGGAGGGACCTGGACCCCAGCAATGACTTTTTCAACATGGGAGGGCTCCAACTGCCCCAGCAAAGCGTGCTGAGCAACGGCAAGCATGGGCCAGGAACAGGCTTTACGCTCTCTGAGGTGCTCAGCTGAGCTTACACGGCATCAGCTCAGCCTCAGCAACCTTGGTAACTTCAACAGCCAGAGCCCGGCGCCGGCAGGTCTGTCACACGCCGGTACGGAGGAATGACGCGCTCTGCCGAACCCTGTCCAAAGCGGGATCCCAAACACCCCCTCCTCTGGGCTATATCTGGCAGTTCCTGGGAAGTGCTCACACATAAACAATTCAGGGCTTTCATGGTAGGAATTGAATTTAAACACATGGTTCGACCATCCAGCAAAGCTCCTAAAAATTCAGGAGATGAAATGCTTTAGGAGGAATCTCTGCTCCAGGCAACCCTCCAACGTGTAAGTGGACGTTACTGAGAAACTGGACCCAGGCTCCAGCTTTAATGAACCACTGAGGTAGGTGGGGGGAGGATGGGCCGTCATGGCCATCAGCTGAAGCAGGGGAGGTTCTGACTAGATATAAGGAAAAAAATAAATCACCATAAGAATAGTTACGAACTGGTAGAAGGAGCTGCAGCTGTGGAAGCTCAACACTCAGAAGTCTTCATGAAATGGTGGGACAAAGCCCTGCCTAAACTGGTCGACTCTGCTGGGATGCACTACAGATCTCGCGGCCCTTCCGAGCTGACCGAAGCTATGGTCGCTTACGGCAGAGATTTAGGCAGACACTGCCCGTTCAGCTTAGCTTACTGCAATGAATCTGACCGGTCAACTGAGAGGAAGGAGCATTCAGACACTCAGACTTCAAGTGTCATCACAAGACAGACAGCCAGCTAGTGTTTCACCTTGTTCCTCCCCCCCCCAGGTCTTTATTATCTTTTATTTATAAGGATCAAGAACATCTGAAAGCATAATGGACCAACAGTCTCTTAGCACGATACGATACAATTTGTTGGTCTCAGCTCCCTTCAACGAAAGAAAGAAACCAGAACTAAGCTGATCTGCAAAGAGAGCAGAAAACTCTCAGACACTGAAAAAGTCAGAACACAATTATCACTGTGCACAGTTCCACAAGGCAAAAATAGAACTTATCTTTTAATTAACACTTTCCTTCAAGAAATTACTATGCCCTGCAGAGCAACACGAGGCAAAGCTTGCGCCTCAGAAGAAAGCAGACACACATACCCTTTTCTCCATCTCCAGCATGCTGGACCGGTCAGAAGTTTTCTCTTGTTTCTGCTATGTAAATTAAAAATAGAAAGCTATTAAAACTGAGAAGCATTCACAGGATGCTGCACAAAGGCCTAGATAGCCTACAGATGCACTTGGCTGGAGAAGCAGCAGTCTTTACAGAACCACTCACACTTAATTCTGTGAACAATAACCATCTCCTCCACACCATCCTCCCTCCCAAGAGCTAAATCCTTTCCCACGCTGGCACACGCACTGGCTTGCCACGGGCCAGTGCTCCGTTTCTCCACTCTAGGAGCTGGTTTTTGCCTTACCTGGGATGCTTTTTCCAACTTTGATTTGATGTCGGCCAGCTCAAGCTGGGCTTCTTGCAGTTTTGACTTCAGCTTTTGATTTTCAGACAGGGCGCTTTCATACAACTGAAACGTGAAACCAAAGATCTCCGTTACCCAGGCGGCTCTTCGGCCGCCGCGCAGACCCAGTTCTGCTTCGCTCCCCCACCTCAGGATATCACAAGGGCAAACACAACTACTTTGGATGCTTTATTTGCATTTTCATAATTCATATGAAATATGAAAACAGCTGTTGAATTTTATAGGGTGTTTAAACACAGGCAAGAGGCAAAGAAAAAGGGTGTTTTTAATTTAGGTAAACGGCCGAGCGTACTAAAGCACGAAGTTATGGATGCTGGACGTATCTGAACCTGGGATTCTCTCGTGCTCCCCAACACAACACGCCCTGGCTGCTCTTGTGCGCTTTTAGTCTGAAGAGGAGGAGAAAGGAGCACCATTTCAGGCCATTCCAAAATGGATTTTTTCCCTTCACTTCCTTCAAACAGGCAGAATTTCCACCCCTCTAAGAGGACAAACTGGGCATACTGCCTGCCTCTCTGGCCAGAGACGTTTGTGAAGCAGAGCGGGGTGCTGCTTATGGGGCGAGGCTGTTCAGCATCGCAGTCATTTCAGAATTAGGGTCACCTTCATCTCTTTAGTTTTCACACGGTCTTTGCGTTGATACCAGATGTGCATGGCAGCCCACATGACTGCCTGTCAAGGATTACCTTGAAGGTTTCAGAGAGCATAGAAAAAGCAATTCTGGGATGTTACAGCAGCAAAAATGAGTCTGTGGGGTAATGCATGCCTGAGCCATGCAGGCGTGCTCCATAGCTTCTTTTCTCGCTCCTTTCACATTCCTCCCAGCATTTCTCCAGCCCAACTCCTTCTCTGGAGATATTCAAGACCCGCCTGGACAAGGTCCTGTGCAGCCTGCTGTAGGTGACCCTGCTTCGGCAGGGGGGTTGGACTAGATGACCCACAGAGGTCCCTTCCAACCCCTACTATTCTGTGATTCTGTGATTCTGTGACTCCTCACTCCACCTCCCCCAGATAACCGAGTCTGCATGCTGTCCTCTCACCCCTTGTCCTTTTTCGACCCTCTGAAGGGCTGATGCATTTGAAAACGGCTGGGGTGACTTCCAAAAGCAATGGAAACAGAGAAAACGAAAATAAACTTTTTCTTTCCAAAGACTCTCAGTGCAGGTTTCTCCAGCAACAGGCAGCTTCTAAGCTGCGTGCAGTGACAATAATACATTTAAAAAATCCTACTTTTTTGTAGTCCCTGTTAGTCTCCTCTTCTGGTCTGCTGCTGAGGGCGGCTAACCGGTTCTCCCTCCGGGCGTAGGCACTGGAGCGGCTGGGGGCACGGTCACTGTACGAGGAGTCACTGGCGGCAGGGTTCGTAGCTGCTTCCAACCTAGAACGCGATGGAGATCTAGCACCGTGGAGCTGCTGGTGCTTCGGGACAGGCAGTGGGAGCGCGACCGGCTGGGGCTCGAGGCCGTGGGGGGACCCGCTGCAGCAAAAAAAGGCGACCGGCTGGGACTCGAGGCCGTGGCAGACCCGGCTGAGCAGGGATGGCCGAGGGCACCCTCCGCCCCACAGCAAGGCATGGTTGCTGCAGGCCAGGCAGCCACCACCATTTTCAAAAACAGAAAAAATACAGTGGGTATCAGCCCAAACCCCACATGGGCAGTAATTTCCCAGGAACCTCTCACCTTCATGGTGGGAATAGGCTCAGAGGGGTTTTTATCCTCTGCAGGGTAGCTGTTAAACCATTTGGGGAGCAAAGGATGAAAGCAAACTGGCCCAACAGTTGGGCTACGGTGACAACCAAATGGCCAGTACCAGCTTCAGCTTACGCTGGTGACTTGAAGCACAGGGAATCCCCAAAGCCATAAAAAAAATTTGCGGTCAATAAATATTAAGTAGAAAAAACTCCAAAAAATGAAATTTTTACCTGGAAAGTCTTTCATGCTGAAGGAAAAAAAAAAAGAAAGAAAACAGGATTTAATAATGTGGAAAATAAAAGGTTTGATTCAAGAACTGCAGAGCTACCGCGCAGCAGCCAGTTCCGACCTCTGGTACCTCTGACACCAGCACCCAGCTCACAGCAAGCTCAACAGCGTTACTTCCCGTGCCCAAACCGGGAATCACCGATCCCCGCCTGAATCTTTTCAACTGCTTCAGCTTCTCTGAAGCATTTCAGATTTCATTTCTTTTGCTGAGCTGAAAACTGCTGAATCAAATCCTGGCTTCCAGCACTGAAATCCATTCCTCTGAACCACAACTAATCTATTGTCTCCCTTTTTCATTCAACTTCTTCTTCCTGACTTTGATCACTGTCCTATGTGTGATGCAGGTGAGAGGGATGAACGGCCCGTGATATGCAGAGCTCGCTGCGTAGCGGTGTTGGACTTCAGGAAAACACCAGCAGGACTCCTTCTCCATGTGCAAGTACCTCCCCCACGAAGAAAAGCTTCTCCACAGCAAGATGACACGCTGCAGAAGCTGCGCGGGGAAGGGAGAGGAGCCTTACACCAGCCAAAAGGGTGGACACGTTGGCTGAAGCACGTCTTTGGTTCTTCTTTCCCCATCAACATCCGAATCACCCCTGGCTGCAGGCGCCCAGCGGCAAGGGCAGAGGTGTCCTGCAGGAGACACGGCACCGACCCGCCACCGCCCGCCCCGCAAGGCTGCTCCTTGTCTGCCAGACATTTACCCAAATTCAAGGTGCGGCCCAACTCTTTTTCAGTCCCTTGAACTGGAAATTGAGCCCGATGCTCCCCTGCTAGCTTTGTTCCCAGCCGGGCTCTTCGCACCCAGACGCGCCTGTGTTGGTGTCTGCGCTGCCCAGACGCGCAGCTAACTCCAGTGCTCAGCGCCTGGCTGGGGCGCAGGTTTGCTGCCCGCCCGGCACCCCGGGGCCCGAAGACTTCAGACCTCCCGCTCCTCTGCCTGGCACCCAGACGATGCCTCCCATTACCGGGCAGGTATCCGGGAGCACACACCACGGGCAGCTACATGAAGTCACCCCATGGAGCAGGAGGGTAGAGACGCGACCCTGCAGCCTCTCCGCTCAAAGCCAGAGGACCCCAGGGGCAAGCCCCAGCGCAGCACGGCCTGGGCCCAGCCTGCCTGCAGTCCTGCCCTCTGCTCAAAGCCAGCACGCAGGGACCCGGCTGCGTATCACCTATACCCAGTTATCACGTTATTAATTCATCCTGCCCTGACGTCACCCTCACCTTGAATCCTGACTCAAGGGACCTGCAACCCCTGCTCCGCAGCGCAGCCCTGACGGGAGATGCAGAGATTTCACCAGCACAGAAGAAACAAACTGCAGCATCGCGGCACATCTGGAGCCTCGCGGCTGGACAACACGTTCAGCTGAAGCTGCTAAGGGCAAAAATCAACAGGAGGAGGAAAACCCGCCATTAAATGGCGGGTTCTCCCTAGACCTGTGCCTGGATGA